AGCGACAACCGATTTACACACCGATTCCCCCTCACTAACCTCCCTCCTGTGCACCCTCACTTCCTGTCACTGACCCATCCGCACCCTCACTTCCTGTCACTGACCCATCCGCACCCTCACTTCCTGTCACTGACCCATCCGCACCCTCACTTCCTGTCACTGACCCATCCGCACCCTCACTTCCTGTCACTGACCCATCCGCACCCTCACTTCCTGTCACTGACCGACCGCCACTAGGCTACAGGATTCCACTGCAAGGATTATTAAGACGACGAGTAACTCCTCCCTCTCCGAGCCCGAGCTCCCCCCTCCCACACCTGGGCTTCTCCTGGGCATCGATCTGCCTGTTGACGTCGTCCATCCACAGCATGAGGTCCCGGACCAGGTTGTAGAAGCGGAACTTCTCCACCGTGTCGGACAGGAGCTGTTTACGGCTGTTGCTGGCGGCCAAGAGAGCGTTCCAGGCCTCTACCACCGTGTCCTCGTGCCGCTGAATGTCTTCCGCTTTCTCCCCCGCGTAGGCTGCCCGCAGACGGGCTGCGTCCTCCTCTACCTGCTTCACCTGCGTGGTGAACACCCAGGAAGGTCAGGGTTTATTACAGGAGCAGCACTGTCTAACTGTGAGCTGTTTGGTCTGGGTCAGCGGAAACCATACATACCACACACACACACCTACACACACACCCATATACCATACACACCACACCCATACACCACACACACACACACATACACCACACACACCCATATACCACAAACACACACCTACACACACACATATACCATACACACTCACCCATAAATGCTACACACACACCCATGTACCATACACACTCACCAATATATACCACGCCCACATCTATACAGCACACACACATAAACGCAACACACACACATGGCACATCTACCCATATATACACCCATACATCATACAAAAACCACACACACAAACAACATACACCCACGTACACACACCCGAACATCATACTTACACCACTCAAGCACCAAACTTACACCCACCTACACACTCATACATCATACATACTCCCATATACACCATACACACAACTCCACCCGACACACACACCCATACACCAAACACACCCATACACCACACACACCCACACACCCACACACACCCATACACCACATGCACACACCCATACACCACACACACACACACACACCTAGCCCAGCTAGTCAGCAACACAATACGACATGATTAGGCGTTATATTATGATGATTATAATGTTATTACCTGGGAGCTGAGGGCCTGGATATCGTGCTGGTAGGTGGTGTGCATGCGGCTCAGTGTCTCCACGCTGTTCAGGTCCCTGCCCACCTCCTCCGGCAGCTGTTGCTGTTTGTCCAGCACACGGCCCAGGGTCTCTCTGGACTCGTGATAGAACCGGTGCAGCTCGAAGGAGGCGGCCAGCATCTGTGTGCGGGTGTCCATCAGTTCCAGCAGGTCGGCCCACGCCTCGTTCAGCCCATCCTTCCACTCGGCCACCGTGGCGTTCTCAGAGTGGCCGGAGTCTATCAGCTCGTCAGCCATGCCGTTCACCCCGTCCACACGCTCCTGCCCTATACTGCTCGTGTCCCGGGCAAACTCCCGGAACTTGTCACGCAGCATCTGTGAGAGAGAGTGTGAGTGTGAGACACAGAGAGAGAGAGAGAGATAGTCTGTATGAGAAAGCAAATGCTCAGAACTCGTCACCCAGCATCTGTGAGGGAGTGAGAGAGAGAGGAGTGTGAGAGACAGAGAAAGAGAGAGAGATAGTGTGCATGAGAGCAAATGCCCGGAACTTGTCCAACAGCACCTGCAAGAGAAAATGTGTGAGAGTAAGAGAGATAGAGTATGAGAGAGACAGAAACAGTGTAAGAGGGACATAGTGTGTGGGTGTGAGAGAAAGAGAGACGAGAGAAAGAGTGCGTGTGAGACAGAGAGAGTGTGTGGGGGAGAGAGACACAGAGTGTGAGAGACAGAGAGAGAAAACTTGATGAAAAAGAGTGTGAGAAAGAACACAAGGGTGAGTGAGAAAAGAATCAGAGAGAGAGATAGAGACCGTGACAGAGAGAGAGAGAGTGTGACACTTACAGTGACGTGCTCGTAATCCTGGCCCAACTCGTGGGAGCCAGCCACCACCTCACACTCAGCGATCCACTGCTCCAGATCATCCACATCCCTCTTGAGCTGGCAGAGCCGCAGCCTCTCCTGTACTTTCCCTCTCCTCTCCTCCGCCAAGTCCTTGAGCCCCGCGTACAGCTTGTCGACCTGAGACTGTCTCAGGGTAATCCGGTCACTGCACAGCCAAGCCACACGCAGACACACAGCAAGCCAGAGCAGGGGCAGGGGCAGGGGAGGGAGGAGATAATAATAGTAATCAATGTAATCATTGTATTACATTCTCTCTGTCTAACATATAAGTCTCTTACTCTCTCACACACACTCTCTTTCTCACACACACACAGAGACACACTCTCTCTTCCTTACTCTCACATACACAGTCTCTCACTGTCTCATACACTCTCTTTCTAACTCTCTCACACACCCTGTCTCTCATACTTTCTCACACTCCTTGCATACAGCGCCTTATCACGTCGTCGAGACATCTCAAAACACTTCACAGCATATACTGTGAAGTGGAGTGACTGTGTGTTTTGTGGGCAAAATGTGACTGAATGCGGGGTTGGGACCGAGGACCCATGTGGACAATTCTGCAATGAGAGTTACCTGTAGTAAAGGTAAAATCGGTGGTGGGGGGGGGAAGGGAGAAATAGCGGGGGGGGGAAAGGGAGAGTGTGCCGGACACTGACCTCTCGGGGTGACTGCTAGACACCAGGTCCCTGCTCAGTGTAGAGAGCTGGTGGATTGTCTGTTCGTAATCTTCCAGCGACTGTTCCATTACCTGATGCTTCTTCACCATGGCTAAAGCACTCTGCTCGTCCTGTCAACACAACCACACGCACCAATCAATACTAATTATAATAATAATATTCCTTGCATTTGACCCGGCGCCTTATCATGTTGTTGAGACGTCTCAAAGCGCTTCACAGGATACACTGTAAAGTGCAGTTACTGTGTGTTTTGTGGTAGCCAATTGCACCCAGTGACGTCCCCACAAACAGTCATGGGTTGAGTGATCACAATTTGTTCTTGATGAGATTATTAAAACAACCGGGTTCCTACTGACTGCTGGTAAACATAGTTGTGTGTGTCTGTATGTGTGTGTGTGTCTCTGTCTGTCTGTGTGTGTGTGTCTGTATGTGTCTGTGTGTTGTGTCTGTGTGTGTCTGTCTGTCTGTGCGTGTGCGTGTGCGCGTGTGTCTGTGTCTGTGTTTGTGTGTGTTGTGTCTGTGTGTGTGGGTCTGTGTGTGTGGGTCTGTGTGTGTGTGTGGGTCTGTGTGTGTGTCCGTGTGTCTGTGTGTGTCTGTCTGCTTGTGTCTGTCTGTGTGTGTGCATGCGTGTGTCTGTGTGTTTGTGTGTGTGTGTGTGTGTGGGTCTGTGTGTGTGTCTGTGTATGTGTCTGTGTGTGTGTCTGTGTGTGCCCGTGTATGTGTTGTGTCTCTGTGTGTGTATTTCTGTGTGTGTTGTGTCTGTGTATGTGTTGTGTCTCTCTGTGTGTGTCTGTGTCTTTGTAGTGTGTATGTGTGTGTGTGTCTGTGTAGTGTGTCTGTGTGTGTGCTGTGTCTGTGTGTGTGCTGTGTCTGTGTATGTGTCTATGTGTGTGTTGTGTCTGTGTGTGTGCTGTGTGTGTGCTGTGTCTGTGTATGTGTCTATGTGTGTGTGTCTGTGTGTGTCTGTGTGTTGTGTCTGTGTGTGTGTGTGTGGGTCTGTGTGTGTGTCTGTCTGTCTGTCTGTGTGTGTGTCTGTGTCGGTGTGTATGTCTGTGTGTTGTGTCTGTGTGTGTGCCCGTGTATGTGTTGTGTCTCTGTGTGTGTGTGTCTGTGTCGGTGTGTATGTCTGTGTGTTGTGTCTGTGTGTCTGTGTGTGCCCGTATATGTGTTGTGTGTGCCCATGTGTTGTGTCTGTGCGTGTGTGTGTCTGTGTCGGTGTGTATGTCTGTGTGTTGTGTCTGTGTGTGCCCGTGTATGTGTTGTGTCTCTGTGTGTGTGTTTCTGTGTGTGTCTGTGTGTGTGGAGTAAGGAAAATTGCTAAGGTTTTGCCCTGACCCGCCCGGGCATCGAATCCAGTTCCTCTCACTCACGCAGCGAGGGCTCTAAACACTGAGCTACAGCACTCCATGCGGAGGGGGGAGCTGAGGCAGAGGGAGGGAGGGAGGCTGTACCTTGGCTTTCTCCTCTGACATCATGTGCAGCTCCTGTTCTCCCATCCAGGCCTCGGCCTCCGCAGCGTCAAAGTAGAACTGCTGGGCCCGGTGTGACTCCTGGAGCCGGGTGTCCCGCTGGTCTGTCTGCCTGATCAGCTCCCTCCACATCTCCTGCAGGTCTCCCAGCCGGCTGCTCAGACCCTCCGAGTCCAGTCTCTTTACCCCGTCCAAGGTCTCTGCGATGTCCCGCTCCTTGATGTCGTCTATCCTCGGCTGGTGTCCCTGGATTTCCTTCTGTAGTGTCTGAGGAGGAAACGATAATATAATAATCATAATCCTGGTGTTTGACCCGGCGCTTCATCACGTCGTGGAGCCGTCTCAAAGCGCTTCACAGGATACACTGTAAAGTGTAGTGGCTGTGTGTTTCGTGGGCGAAACGTTGCGCCCAGCAACGTCCCCACAAGCAGCATTGAGTGACCAAACGATGGAGCTACGAGGTGATTTTTACCCGGCCTGAAGACGTCGAGGCAAACCACAGCTCCTCCTGCACACAGCCACGAGGTGAGATGGCAACAACATTTTGTACGTGTGTTAATGATAATAATAATCTTTGCATTTGATACAGCGCCAATTTATTATTTTTTTTAAAGGAATTATTACCCTCAGAAAGCGATCCGCCCATCGACTAACAGCCATGTTAGTGTGTGTGTGTGTGTGTGTGTGTGTGTGTGGAGTAAGGAAACTTGCCCAAAGTTTCGCCCTGTTCCCCCCGCCGGGAATCGAGGCGAGCGCTCTAACCACTGAACTTGAGGTACGATCATATGCAGACACAGCCCAAGCTCGCTCTCACCTGATTCTTTTTAATCAGCAGCTGCACGGTGGGCAAGTTGTTTCCGTGATCTGTTGACGTTGCTAGCGGCATCCGCTCCTTCACCCACAACTAAAGGACAGGACCCAGAGTTAGTCATCAGAGAACAGAGAAAGAGAGAGGCACAGAGTTAGTAATCAGTGTCTGGATCCTGCTCAACAACAACAACTTGCATTTATATCACGCCCTTCACGCTGGGTAGCATACTGGAGCACTTAACAATGGCGGAGTCACTGTTAAGGCTTAACAGTACTCAGGAGATTAGGACAACCCAACTGATCTGCCAATCGGCTAACAACTGGGTCCCTACTTACTGCTAAACAGAGGCGTTTGTGTGTGTGGAGTAAGGAAACTTGCCGAAGATTTCGCCCTGACCTACCTGGGATTCGAACCCAGGTCCACTCGCTTGCGAGTCAAGGGCTCTAACCACTGAGCTACAAGACTCCACAAGGTAGTGAGGTGCCAGGATGTGAAGAGATTTTCTGTGAGAGGATCTTGCAATCGATCTGTGATAGGGAGCCAGTGTAGCCTGGCGAGGGCTGGGGTGATGGGGTACAGGGTTTAGTGTGTGATAGGGAGCCAGTGGGGGCTGGCGAGGGCTGGGGTGATGGGGTACAGGGTTTAGTGTGTGATAGGGAGCCAGTGAAGCCTGGTGAGGGCTGGGGTGATGGGGTACAGGGTTTAGTGTGTGATAGGGAGTCAGTAGGGGCTGGCGAGGGCTGGGGTGATGGGGTACAGGGTTTAGTGTGTGATAGGGAGTCAGTAGGGGCTGGCGAGGGCTGGGGTGATGGGGTACAGAGTTCAGTGTGTGATAGGGACCCCGTGGAGCCCGGCGAGGGCTGGGGTGATGGGGTACAGGGTTTAGTGTGTGATAGGGAGTCAGTGGGGGCTGGCGAGGGCTGGGGTGATGGGGTACAGGGTTTAGTGTGTGATAGGGAGTCAGTGGGGGCTGGCGAGGGCTGGGGTGATGGGGTACAGATTTCAGTGTGTGATAGGGAGCCAGTGGAGCCCGGCGAGGACTGGGGTGATGGTGGGACGGGGTTTAGTGTGTGATAGGGAGCCAGTGAAGCCTGGCGAGGGCTGGGGTGATGGAGGGACGGGGTTTAGTGTGTGATAGGGAGCCAGTGGAGCCTGGCGAGGGTACAGGGTTTAGTGTGTGATAGGGAGCCAGTGAACCCTGGCGAGGGCTGGGGTGATGGGGGTTACGGTCTCCCCGCAACCAACAACCGATTCAGAACTCCATTGCTTGCATACTCACCAACACTAACCTCCATCACACCAACGCTCGCTCCCTATCACACACACTAAACTCCGTAACTTACGATTTCATCCTCTAGGTCTCTGTTGAACTGATGTCTCTCTTTGGAAGCGGTCAACTTGTTTCGTCTCTCTCGCAGTGGCTGCAGCAGCTCTCTGAACCTCTCCTCTACTCTCTTCTGCTTGGAGTCCACTTCCACCGTGTTGGAATCCTCCTGCCCCAGGGCCTGTGCTTGGCCTTTCAGCTCCGCCACCTCCTTCTGTCTCACCTCCACCTGGTTCTCTAGGATCTAGAGACATAGATAATAAGTAGCAATAATAATAATCCTTGCATTTGATACAGTGCCTTATCATGTCTTTGAGACGTCTCAAAGTGCTTCATGGGATACACTGTAAAGTGTAGTGACTGGGTATTTTGTGGATGAAACGCAGCAGCCAATTGTGCACAGCAGCATCCCATAAACAGTTGTGGATTGAGTGACCACAGTATTTTTGGGGGGGACGGATTAATCCCCCCAGAAAGCGATCTGCCAATCGACTAACAACTGGGTTCCCACTTACTGCTGGTAAACAGGGGTGTGTGTGAAGTAAGGAAACTTGCCTAAGGTTTCGCCCTGTCTCGCTCGGGAGAGTCCTCTCACTTGCGAGGCGAGCGTTCTAACCACTGAGCTACAGGACTCCACTGGTTAGTGTGGACGGCTGTCTGTGTGGCTCCTGTTACCTGTTGCTTCTTCAGGAGGATACTGACACTGGTCAGATCCTTGCCGTGATCGTCGGAGTGCAGCTGTAGTACCAGGGTGTCCAGCCAGGCGTCCAGGTCGGTGCAGCTTTGGTTGAAGAGCTCGGCCCGGTTGGCATCGAACAGGCACTGAGCTTTGGTCTTGGTTGTGGACTCCAGCTCGTCCCAGAGTGTGTGTAGTTCCTTCAGCTTCTCCCTCACCACAGGCTCTGTGTCTGGCTTGGCTGCCATCAGCTGCTCCCCTTCCTATACACGACAACAACAATAGCAAATTATAATAATCAGAATAATCCTCGCATTTGATACAGTGCCTTGTCACGTCTTTGAGACGTCTCACAGCGCTTCACAGGATATACTGTAAAGTGGAGTGACTGTATATTTTGTAGGCAAAATGAGACAGCCAATCGCACAGCGATATACCCACAAACAGTCATCGATTGAGAGATGAGTTTATTATTTTTTTTTGAAGGGATTATTACCTCTGGAAAAGAGATCCGCCAATCGACTAACAACCGGGTTCTCACTTACTGATGGGTACAATACAATACAAAATTACATTTGTAAAGCACCTTTCACATCGGGAGGACGTCGCAAGACACTGAAGTTAAACAGAGGCATGCGTGTGGAGTAAGGAAACTTGCCCAATGTTTAGTTTTGCCCGGCTGGGAATCGAACCTAGATGCTCTAGCCACTAGCTGACAGGACTCCACAGTTTGTAGGCCCTTGTACCTCAACAACAACAACATTACATTTGTATATTGCCTTTCACATCGGGAGGACTATTCAGGGCTGTTCCTCTGACCGACCTTGTGGATGGTGTCCAGCCAGTCCTTGTTGGAGCCCAGCTCGGCCATGAAGGCCTGGTGTTTCTGCCACTTGCTGTGCAGGTTCCGGGCCTCGTCGTACGACATGTCCTGGGCTGTCAGCATCTTCTCGTTGATCCACAGGGTCAGCTGGGGAGGTGGGGGTGGAGAGAGAGGAGCATCAGTGAGGCAGACACGGGGTCACACTAGGCTCCAGCTAATGCAGTCTGTATCACCTCCATTGTTGTGCTAAGCTATCCACTTCAGGACTGAGTGGATAGATGTTCGTTAGGTCAGAGTATTAAGGGATGTGGGGCAAAGGCAGGTAATTGGAGTTGAGGTACAGATCAGCCTTGATCTTATAGAACAGGCTCAATAATAATAATATAATAATAATCCTTGCATTTGATATAGCGCTTTTCACGTCGGGAGGACGTCCCAAAGCGCTTCACAGAACACACTGTAAAGTGAATTGACTGTATATTTGTGGCCGAACGCGGCAGCCAATGGCGCACAGCAATGTCCCACAAACAGACGTAGATTGAAAATGACCAATTTATTATTGTTTTTGGTTTTTGGAGGGATTATTATTAGGAGATAGACACACACAAGAGAGCGACACTCTCTCTTAGGCTCTGTGTGGAGTAAGGAAACTTGCCCAAGGTTTCGCCCTCTGCCTGGAATTGAACTCAGGTCTCTCACTTGCAAAGCGAGTGCTCTAACCACTGAGCTACAGGATTCCACTCAAGGGGCTGGATGGCCTCTTCCTGTTTCTATGTTGTCTAATACAGTAGAGGCAAATAGCAGTACTGACACTGGCCCTGTCTCTCTCTCTCTGTGCTTGTCTCTCTCTCTTGCGTGTGTATGTGTTGTGTGTGTCGCTCTCTTTCTTCTGTGTATGTATTTGTGTGTCTCTCGGGTTTGTATGTGTCTCCCTTTCTTGTGTGTGTATATCTCAATCTTGGGTGTGTATATCTTTCTCCCTCGCACGTGTGTGTCTCTCTCTCTCATGTATGTGTGTCTCTGTGTATTTGCACGTTTGTGTGTGAGTGAATCTCCCTCTCTGTCTCTCTCGCTGTCTGTGTATGTCCATCTCTCTCTCTGGCTCAATCACTCACTCACGTCATACACGTATGAACAAAGGACAACAAGGGAGCCAATAACACGTAAGAAGAGCCGAACAACAACAACAGATGAAATTTACACAGCGCCAGGAGGACGTCGACAGATAGGGATTTGCACCCGAGCTGGGGGTTGTGAACAGGAGGGCTGAAGGGCGGGGAGGGTGCGGGCAGGAGGGTGACCGAATGGCCTCCACCTGTTCCTACGCGGTTGTGCGTGTGTTCCCCCCTCCCCCCCACCTAGCTCTTGTGGCAAGTGCAAGGTACCTCTTGACAGTCTTGCAGGAACTCCTGCAGTTCCCTGTTGTCTCTCAGTCGTGCAGTTACATCCCTCGCTGCATCCCGGTTCTTTGTGTGCCTGAAATCCAAATCACGGGTCCATGAATCGTAATAATATAATAAAAATCCTTGCATTTGATGAGTGCCTTATCATGTTCTTCGAGAGTTCTCCAAACGCTTCACAGGATACACCACAAAGTGTAGTGACTGTGTATTTTGTGGGTGACATACGGCAGCCATTTGTGCACAGCAGCGTCCCACAAACAGCCGCGGATGGTGGCAACGCTCTCACGCATTTCATGCTGAGCTCTGTCGCCCACCGGGAAGCTCACAGTGAGGTCCTGGGACCTGCCATCCACCGAGTGAGGCTTAACACCCAACACTTGTCGGGACATCCAACTAGTGACAATCTTCCTGGGGGCGGTGGGGGGTGGGGGGGGGGGGGGTGAGCAGGGTCTCCTCGGAACTGAACTGGCCCCAAAGTGACGTTCCTAGTAACATAATGTCAGGATCAAGCCCCCTCCCCTCTCTGTGCCGGACTCCAGGAGGGGCCGCAGTATCCCAGGGCAGTCACTACTGATGACAGACCAGCCCGGCCTGGCTCATGGGCAGGACCTGGAAGGACCTTGTGTTGGGCGCTGATCACAGCGGCTGCCCAACCTACCTTTGGTTGATGGAGTCGACTTTGTCCTGGATCTTGTCGGAGTGAACGTTGCCCTCGGCGACCAGCTTGTTGCCCGAGTCCACCACGCTGTTTATCTTCTCCTCGTTGGCCTCCATAGTGGTCATGATGTCCTCGTGCTTCTTGATGGCTCCCTCGGCCATCTCCAGGGTCCCTGGCATCTCCGTGTGTGACAGCATGTATTCCTGCAGGGCAGAGCCACAGGGCTCAAGTCTCAACAACAACAACTTGTATTTATATAGTGCCCCTCAAGCACAGCAGTGGCTGAAGGTGTGGCCACTGAGGGTGGAACAGAGGGCACAAAGTATTTAATAATAATAATAATAATCCGGGCACTGACCCGGAGCCTCATCACATCTTTGAGACGACTCAAAGCACTTCACAGGATACACTGTAAAGTGTAGTGACTGTGGGTTTTGTGGGCAAAACGCAACAGCCAATTACGTACAGTGACATCCCCACAAACAGTCGTGGATTGAGTGACCAAATTATTACTACTATTATTATGTTTGAGGAATTATTACCCCCGAAAAGCGATCCACCAATCAAATGACTCACTGCCGGGTAAGCAAAAGCGAGTGAGGAAAGACACTGACCTGCCGTTCCCCCTCCCCCCGGGGTCACCGCTCCGACACGAAGCCACAGCTTCACGTCAGGGGGAGGGGAACAGAGGTGATGGGAGAGAGTGGAGTGGATGGAGATTGGGGTGGAGTTTCATAACACACAGTCACTCCACTTTGCAGCATATCCATAGGAGTCCTGTAGCTCAGTGGTTAGAGCACTCGCTTTGCAAGTGAGAGACCTGAGTTCAATTCCAGGCAGAGGGCCAAACCTTGGGCAAGTTTCCTTACTCCACACAGAGCCTAATAATAATCCTCCAAAACAAAACAATAATAAATTGGTCATTTTCAATCTAGTGACTAGTTCGGCTACGATTGGGGGAGTGGGACTAGTTGGGTAAGAGCGGGAGAGTGGGACGAGTTGGGGTGAGAGTGGGGGAGTGGGATTAGTTGGGGTGAGAGTGGGGGTGAGAGTGGGGATAGTTGGGATGAGAGTGGGGGTAGTGGGGGTGAGAGTGGGCGTAGTCCGGGTGAGAGTGGGGGTAGTTGGGGTGAGAGTGGGGGTAGTGGGGGTAGTTGGGGTGAGAGTGGGGGTAGTGGGGGTGAGAGTGCGGGTAGTTGGGGTGAGAGTGTGGGTAGTCGGGGTGAGAGTGGGGTAGTGGAGATGAGAGAGGGGGTAGTGGGGTGAGAGTGGGGGTAGTGGGGGTGAGAGAGGGGGTAGTGGGGGTCAGAGAGGGGTAGTGGGGGTAGTCGGGGTGAGAGAGGGGTGAGAGTGGGGGTAGTGGGTGTGAGAGAGGGGGTAGTGGGGGTGAGAGTGGGGGTAGTCGGGGTGAGAGAGGGGGTAGTGGGGGTAGTGGGGGTAGTTGGGGTGAGAGTGGGGGTAGTGGGGTAGTTGGGGTGAGAGTGGGGTAGTGGGGGTGAGAGTGCGGGTAGTCGGGGTGAGAGTGGGGGTAGTCGGGGTGAGAGTGGGGGTAGTGGGGATGAGGGGTAGTTGGGGTGAGAGTGGGGGTAGTGGGGGTAGTGGGGGTGAGAGTGGGGGTAATCGGGGTGAGAGTGGGGGTAGTCGGGGTGAGAGTGGGCGTAGTGGGGATGAGAGAGGGGGTAGTGGGGGTGAGAGAGGGGTAGTGGGGGTGAGAGTGGGGGTAGTGGGGGTGAGAGAGGGGATAGTGGGGGTGAGAGTGGGGGTGAGAGTGGGGGTAGTGGGGGTGAGAGTGGGGGTAATCGGCAGCTCATTCAGTATCGAATGGTTAAGATCTTCCTTTGATATAGTGCCTTCTCACATTGTTGAGACGTCTCAAAGATAATAATATAATAATAATCTTTGCATTTGATATAGCGCTTTTCCCGTCGGGAGGACATCACAAAGCGCTTCACAGAACACACTGTAACGTGAATTGACTGTATATTTGTGGGTGAACGCGGCGGCCGATTGCGCACAGCAATGTCCCACAAACAGTCCACTCCCCCACTCTCACCCCAAGTAGACCCACTCCCCCACTCTCACCCCAACTCCCCCACTCTTACCCCAACTACTCCCACTCCCCCACTCTCACCCCAACTAGTGCCACTCCCCCACTCTCACCCCAACTCCCCCACTCTCACCCCATCTACTCCCACTCACCCACTCTCACACCAACTACCCCCACTCCCCCACTCTTACCCCCACTCCCCAACTCTCACCCCAACTACCCCCACTCCCCAACTCTCACCCCAACTACTCCCACTCCCCCACTCTCACCCCAACTACCCCCACTCCCCCACTCTCACTCCAAATACTCCCACTACCCCACTCTCACCCCAACTACCCCCACTCTCACCCCAACTAGTCTCACTCCCCCACTCGCATCCCAACTCATCCCACTCCCCCACTCTCACCCAAACTAGTCCCACTCCCCCACTCTCACCCTAAATAGTCCCATTCCCCCGCTCTTACCCCAACTCGTCACACTACCCCGCTCTTACCACTCGTCCACACTCCTCCACTCTCACCCCAACTTCTCCCACTCCCCCACTCTTAGCCCAACTAGTCACCACTCCCCCCCGCTCTTACCCCAACTAGTGCCACTCCCCCACTCTCACCCCAACTACCCCCACTCCCACACTCTCACCCCAACTCCCCCACTCTCACCCCAACTACCCCCACTCCCCCACTCTTACCCCAACTCCCCCACTCTCACCCCAACTACTCCCACTCCCCCCACTCTCACCCCAACGCCCCCACTCCCCCACTCTTACTCCAACTCCCCCACTCTCACCCCAACTACTCCCACTCCCCCACTCTCACCCCAACTACTCCCACTCCCCCACTCTCACCCCAACTACCCCCATTCCCCCACTCTCACACCAACTACCCCACTCCTCCACTCTCACTCCAAATACCTCCACTACCCCACTCTCACCCCAACTACCCCCATTCCCCCACTCTCACACCAACTACCCCACTCCTCCACTCTCACTCCAAATACCTCCACTACCCCACTCTCACCCCAACTACCCCACTCACCCACTCTCACCCCAACTACACCCACTTCCCCACTCTCACCCCAACTACCCCCACTCCCCCACTCTCACCCCAACTACCCCCACTCTCACCCCAACTAGTCCCACTCCCCCACTCGCATCCCAACTCGTCACACTCCCCCACTCTCACCCCAAATAGTCCCACTCCCCCGCTCTCACCCCAACTCTGCCGCTCTTATCCGAAACTCGTCCCATTCCCCCGCTCTTACAGCAACTCGTCACACTACCCCGCTCTTACCACCCGTCCACACTCCTCCACTCTCACCCCAACTTCTCCCACTCCCCCACTCTTACCCCAACTAGTCTCACTCCCCCACGCTTACCCCAACTAGTCCCACTCCCCCACGCTTACCCCAACTAGTCCCACTCCCCCACGCTTACCCAACTAGTCACCACTCCCCCCCGCTCTTACCCCAACTAGTCCCACTCCCCCAATCGTAGCCAAACTTGTCCCACTCCCCCGCTCTTACCCCAAACAGTCCCACTCCCCTGCTCTTACCCCAACTAATCCCACTCCCCCACTCTTACCGCAACTAGTCCCCACTCTTAGCCCAACTATTCCCACTCCCCCACTCTTACCCCAACGAGTCCCACTCCCCACCCCAACTACCCCACTCACCCACTCTCACCCAACTACCCCACTCCCCACTCTCACCCCAACTACCCCCGCTCTTACCCCAACTCGTCCCACTCCCCCACTCATACCCCAACTAGTCCCACGCCCCCACTCTAACCCCAACTAGTTCAACTCCCCCACTATTACCCCAACTAGTCCCATTCCCCACTCTTACCCAACAAGTCACCATTCCCCCACTCTTACCCCAACTAGTCCCCACTCCCCCGCTCTTACCCCAACTAGTCCCCACTCCCCCGCTCTTACCCCAACTTGTCCCACTCCCCCGTTCTTAACCCAACTAGTCCCACTCCCCCACTTTTACACTTAACGAGTCCTACTCCCCCGCTCTTACCCCAACTAGTCCCACTCCCCCAATCGTAGCCAAACTTGTCCCACTCCCCCGCTCTTACCCCAAACAGTCCCACTCCCCCGCTCTTACCCCAACTAGTGCCACTCCCCCACTCTTACCCCAACTAGTCCCCACTCTTAGCCCAACTAGTCCCCACTCCTCCACTTTCACCCCAACGAGTCCCACTCCCCCGCTCTTACCCGAACTAGTCCCCACTCCTCCACTGTCACCCCAATTAGTCCCACTCCCCCGCTCTTACCCCAACTCGTCCCACTCCCCCACTCATACCCCAACTAGTCCCACGCCCCCACTCTAACCCCAACTAGTTCAACTCCCCCACTATTACCCCAACTAGTCCCATTCCCCCACTCTTACCCAACAAGTCACCATTCCCCCACTCTTACCCCAACTAGTCCCCACTCCCCCGCTCTTACCCCAACTAGTCCCCACTCCCCCGCTCTTACCCCAACTTGTCCCACTCCCCCGTTCTTAACCCAACTAGTCCCACTCCCCCACTTTTACACTTAACGAGTCCTACTCCCCCACTCTTACCCCAACTAGTCCCACTCCCCCGTTCTTACCCCAACTAGTTCCACTTCCCCAATCGTAGCCGAACTTGTCCCACTCCCTTGCTCTCACCCCAAATGGCCCAACTCCCCCGCTCTTACCCCAAAGTGTCCCCACTCCCCCACTATTACCCCAACTAGTCCCACTCCCCCAATCGTAGCCAAACTTGTCCCACTCCCCCGCTCTTACCCCAAAGAGTGCCCACTCCCCGGCTCTTACCCCAACCAGTCCCACACCCCCGCTCTTACCCCAACTAGTCCCACTCCCCCGCTCTTACCCCAACTAGTGCCACTCCCCCACTCTTACCCCAACGAGTCCCACTCCCTCGCTCTTACCCCAACTCGTCCCACTCCCCCACTCATACCCCAACTAGTCCCACTCCCCCGCTCTTACCCCAACTAGTCACCACTCCTCCACTCTCACCCCAATTAGTCCCACTCCCCCGCTCTTACCCCAACTCGTCCCACTCCCCCACTCATACCCCAACTAGTCCCACTCCCCGCTCTTACCCAAATAGTCACCACTCTTCCACACTCACCCCAACTAGTCCCACTCCCCCGCTCTCACCCCAACTAGTCCCACGCCCCCACTCTTACCCCAACTAGTCCCACTCCCCCAATCTTAGCCGAACTTGGCCCACTCCCCCACTCTTTCCCAACTAGTCACCACTCCCCCGCTCTTACCCCAACTTGTCCTACTCCCCCGCTCTTATCCCAACTATTTCCCACTCCTCCACTCTCCCTCCAATGAGTCCCACTCCCCCGCTCTTACCCCAACAAGTCCCCACTCCTCCATTCTCAGCCCAACTAGTCCTACTCCCCCACTCTTACCCCAACGCGTCCCACTCCCCCACTCTTATCCCAACTAGTCCCACTCCCCCGCTCTTACCCCAACTAGTCCCACTCCCCCAATCTTAGCCGAACTAGTCCCACTCCCCCGCTCTTACCCCAACTCGTCCCACTCCCCCGCTCTTACCCCAACTAGTTCCACTCCCCCAATCTTAGCCGAACTAGTCCCACTCCCCCGCTCTTACCCCAACTAGTCCCATTCCCCCACTCTTACCCAACTTGTCTCCACTCCCCCGCTATTACCCCAACTGGTCCCCGCTCTTACCCCACAGCGCTGCACATTGTTCCTTTTCTAGTCCCTATCCAATTCCCTTGTGAGAGCTGCTATAGAATCTGCTCCCACCAGCCTTCCAGGCCGTGTTTTCCAGCCCGTAACAACTTTCTGGGTAAAAAATGTCTCCTCGTCTGGTCTCCCCTCTGTTTGTTTTGCCGGTTATCCTAAATCTGTGTCCTCTGGTTACCGCCCGTCTATCCGCCCAAAGAAACAGTTTCTCCTCTATCTACTCTATCAATACCCCTCACGATAAAACGCCTCTATTTACGCAGCGCCTTTCACGACTGGAAGACGTTAAGAAAATATTTTCATGCGGCCTTGGGTCACCAAGTGAAACCACTCTACCTGGTTGTTGAGGAAGCCTTCCGCCTGCTTCGCGTCACGCAGGAAGACCTGGTAACCGTACACCTGTGCCAGCAGGTTGTGTCTGTTCTCCCACATCTGCCGCACCTCAGTCCAGCCAGTGTCCAGGGCTTGCAGCCTCTGGTGGAGGAACATGTACTGTGGGTCCGTCTGGCCCCGGGTCACCTCCTCCCCTACGTCCCTCATCCTCTGATAGTCCTCCTTATAATTATCCATCTCATTCTTGATGTTGCCGTGCTGAGCCAGGAGCCGCTCGGCATCTGGTAGAGAACCGGCGATGTCCTCCGAGGCAATGGCGGTCTGCGTGCGCGAGAGCCAGGACTGGAAGTCGTCCAGGTCCCTCAGGAACTCCTGGAGCTTGCTGGCCTCTCCCAGCGACTCCTCCCGAGTCTTCATGGTACCACGCAGCTCGCCCCATACCCCGTCGATCTCCGTCAATCTGGACAGCACCGGCCGAGCCTGGGATGGGTGTTCAGCCGCTAGTTTGCCCGCCTCATCACGCAGATCGTCCAGCTTGCCTTCGATGGCCTCCAGATCACGCTCCATTCCTGTCAGCTTCCGTTGCAGGGCTGTGACCCCAGCCAGGTCATTGCCCAAGCTCTGTGTGGACTCCACCAGCTTGGTCTTCTCTCTGATCCACGATTTGGTCTCGTTACAGTCCAGGTGGTAGTTCTGGATGCTCAAGGCCGAGCTCAACGCCTCTTTCTTCTGATCGGCCAGAGCCCGGAACTGGTCCCAGCTGTTAAAGGGAAAGAGTTAACATCAAACGTGAGTGGGGGGGCGAGGCGGAGGGAGCTCGCGCAGCCTGGTACAGCAACAACAACTTGAACTTACAGAGTGCCTTCCACGCAGGGTAGCGTCTCAGAGCACTTAACAGTGGCGGAGCCTGACTCTAAGCCAGGTTGGTGGGGTGGGAGGAGGTGGCCGTAAACACGGTCGAAGAGGAAGGTTTTCAGGCAGAACTTGAAAAAAGGGAGAAAGGAGGCAAGGCGGAGGGATTGAGGGACAGTGTTCCAGAATTTTGGGGTGTAGTGGCTGCAAGCGTGACCTCCGATGGTGGGGCCGAGAGTGCGAGAGACGAGCAGGAGGCCGGTGCCAGTCAAGCGGAGGCACCAGCCAGGAGGTGGATTGGGGAGTGAAGAGGTCGGAGAGGTAGAGAGGTGCCAGAGAGTGAAGGCTCAGCACAGCCTGGCACTGGCACAGCTTGACTCACCTGCGGTTGAGCTGGTCTTGTACCCCAGCCACCTCCTCCTTGTTGTGCTGTTGGCTGTTGAGCAGTTGCTCAGCCACTTGGTTGACCGCGGCGATGTTAGACACCTGGTTGTTCATCTCTGGCTCCAGCGTCTCAAACCTAACATCAGAGAAAAGGGATCACAGTCACACAAACACGTTCCCCCACACTCTCCAACTCTAGGTATTCCCTCCCTCCACCAGCAGTCAAGTCTTCAGCTCAATACCCTGGCTCCCCTGGATCTGAGAGAGATGGAATGGTGGGGGGGTGGGGGGAGACGATATGGAGAGAGTGTGGATGGGGGAGAGTGGAAGGAAGGGGGGTAAGGGAGAGAGAGAAGAGGAGACGTTATATCTTCAGATGGAGAAAAGATAAGAGAGAGAAAGGGATGAAGAGAGAGATGGAGAGAGGGGGGGGAAGAGAGATGGAGATAAAAGGCCAGAGAGAGACGGAGGGAGGGTAAGAGAGAGATGGAGAGAAGAAAGACGAAGAGATGCAGAGAGAGAGGGGAAGGGTAAGAGAGAGATGGAGAGGGGCGGAAGAGACAGACGGGGTACGAGAAGAGGAGAGAGTAGGGGTGCAGGGGATGAAGGGAGGAAGAGCAGGTACAAGAGAGAGAGGAAATGGGCGTGTGTAAGTGTATATGTCTGAGTATCTGAGTGCATGTGCGTGTGTACATGAGAGAGTGTGTGAGTATGTAGTGTGTTTGTGCCTGTGTGTGAGTGTGTGTGTGGTGAGTGTGTGTGTGCCTATGTGTGAGTGAGTAGTGTGTATGAGTGTGTGTGGTAAGTGTGCGCGTGCATACATGTCTGTGTGTGAGTGTTTGGTGTGTGAGTGAGTGAGTGGTGTGAGTGCGTACATGTCTGTTTATGAGAGTGTGATACATGCCTGTGTGTGTGTGTTTGGTGTGTGTGTAAGTGAGAGTTGTGCCTGTGTGTGTGAGTGAGTGTGTAGTGAGTGTGGTGTGTGTGTGTGTGGTGTGTGTGAGTAAGTGTCGTGCCTGTGTGTATGTGTGTGAGAGTGAGTGTGCGGGGTGTGTGCGTGAGTGTCGTGCCTGTGTGTGAGTGAGTGTGTGGTGTGTGTGTGAGTGAGTGTCGTGCCTGTATGTGTGTGTGTGTGAGTGAGTTTGTGGTGTGTGTATGTGTGTGTTGGGTGTGTGTGTGTTGTGTGTGTGGTGTGTGTGTGCGTGAGCGAGTGTCGTTCATGCCTGTGTGTTTGTGTGTGTGTGTGAGTGAGTGTGTGATATGTGTAATGGTGTGTGAGTGTGTGTGTATGTGTGTGTAGTGTGTGTGCGGTGTGTGTGAGTGAGTGTCGTGCCTGTATGTGTGTGTGTGTGAGTGAGTTTGTGGGGTGTGTGTAAGTGTGGTGTATGTGTGTGTGTGAGTGTGGTGTGTGAGTGTGTGTATGTGGTGTGTGTGTGTGTGCGTGAGTCAGTGTCGTTCGTGCCTGTGTGTTTGTGTGTGTGTGAGTGAGAGTCGTGCCTGTGTGTATGAGTGAGTGTGTGGTGTGTGTGTGAGTGTCGTGCCTGTATGTGTGTGGTGTGTGTGTGTGAGTGTGTGATATGTGTAATGGTGTGTGAGTGTGGTGTGTGTGTGTGTGAGTGAGTTTGTGGTGTGTGTGTGTGTGAGTGTGGTGTGTGTGGTGTGTGTGTGTGCGTGAGCGAGCGAGTGTCGTTCATGCCTGTGTGTTTGTGTGTGTGTGTGGTGTGTGTGTGAGTGAGAGTCGTACCTGTGTGTGTGTGAGTATGTGGCGAGTGTGTGTGTGTCGTGCCTGTGTGTATGAGTGAGTGTGTGGTGTGTGTGTGAGTGTCGTGCCTGTATGTGTGTGTGTGTGTGAGTGAGTGAGTGATATGTGTAATGGTGTGTGAGTGTGTGTGTGTGTGTGTGTAGTGTGTGTGTGTGTGTGTGTGTGAGTGCCCTCCCTACCTGTGCTGAACCACTTCCAGATCCTCAAGCTTGTTGGGAATCTCCATGGCGTCCAGCCATTGACTCTTCTCCTCAATCCAGAGGGTGCAGGCGTCGGCCTCGCTAAACATTTTGTAGAGGGCGAGGGCGTCCATCAGGGCCTGCTTCCGATCCTGCGCCAGAGCCACCAGCTCCTCGTAGCGTTGCTCGATAGCCGGGAGACGTCCGTCCACTTCGGGGGAACTGGCCAACTCGAGTGGGAGGCTCCTGGCCTGCTCGTGAAGGCAGTCGATGGCTGGTCTGTGCGTCAGGATCTCCTCCTCCACCTCCCGGTGTTTCTTGGCCAGCGTCTGGGTCGAATACTCGTCGTGTCCCACCTCGGAGCTTGAGGAAACACGGAGAGCCTCCAGGATCCAGGCCTCTATGTCGTTGGCATCCGCCTGGAAGTGGTAGAGGTTGGAAGTCTCGTTCAGACGTTGTTCCCGGAGCGAGGCTAACTCCTCCAGCCCGGCCCACTGCGCTCGGGCATCCATGATCTTCTCCCGCACCTGCTTGGAGCCGAAGTGCCCCTCTCCGACCAGTGCCTCTCCTGCCCTGATGGTCTGCCCCAGCGCCGCGCTCCGCCCGCTCATTTCGTCCTTGAAGGCGCTGTGTTTGCTGATGAGCAGCGTCACGTTGCTCAGGTCCTTGCCCAGCTCGGCCGACGACAGGATCTGTGCCTTCTCCCGGATCCAGGCCTCCTCCTCGCCCATCTCCCAGAAGAAGCGCCACAGCCTACGGGATTCCTCCAGCTTCTCCCAGCGTTCCGAGCACAGCCGGCACAACTCCCCGTAACTCTCATCCAGGTGATCGATCCGGTCACGCACCACCTCGGGATCGCACGGTTTGTACTCTACCATGTGGGGAGAGAGGGAAACAGAGGGAGAGGGAGTGAGAGAGCAACACCTTTAGTGTCACCTAACACAGCGCCAGCCGCTGTGACCCGACCACAGCTTTATATAGGGTTAAATCATAATAATAATCCTTGTATTTGACACAGCGTCTCATCACGTTTTCGAGACGCCTCGAAGCGCTTCACAGGATACACTGTAAAGTGTAGTAACTGTGTACTCTGTGGGCGAAACGCGGCAGCCAATTGTGCACAGCGACATCCCTACAAACAGTCATGGGTTGAAGTGACCAATTTATTTGTTTTTTTTTGAGGGGATTATTACCCCCCGGAAAGCAATCCGCCAATCGAATAACTAGCGGTTTCCTACATTTACTGCTGGGTAAACAGGGGCGCGTGTGAGTGGAGAAAGGAAACTTGCCCAACGTTTCGCCCCGCCCGGGAATAGAACCTGGGTCCCCTTGCTTGTGAGGCGAGCGCTCTAACCACTGAGCTACAGGACTCCTCAAAGCACCGTATCAGATACAAGGATTATTATTATTAAATTGATATTTATGCCCAATAATACTGATATACAGGACAGACACTCATACCCAGTTATTACAGTGCTCAGTCACCCAAGACTGACCCCATCAACCCCCACCCTCGCCCAGCTCCACTGCTGCTCATCCCCCAGCGGATCGAGTTAAACATCCTTATCCTCACTTCTAAAGCCCTCCACGGCCTTGCTGCCCCCCACCTCTATAACCCGCTCACCCCATACCGACCTGTCCACTCCCTCCACTCAGCGGGCTCCGGCCTGTTCCACGTCCCGCTCCCGGCCCATCCCATCATCGGCAGGCGGGCCTTCAGCCTCCCTGCCCCCACCCTCAGGAACTCCATCCCACAGTCCCTCTGACTCGCTCCCTCCCTCGCCTCCTTCAAGGCCCGTCTTAAGATCCTCCTCTTCGGCCAACCGCGCCTTCGGTCACCCCCCCACCCTCCCTGCCCTCCACACCCTCCTGATCCCAACCTCCAGCTCGGGTCGAAATCCCTGACTGCCCAATGCCTTGGGATGTCCTCCTGACATGAGAGACGCTGTGTGAATGTAATTTGTTGTTATTCTTGCCCCCTCCCCCCCCGCCTCCCCTGCTCGGCCCCAGTCCTCACCTTCCTCTTTAGAGGTAAATTTCTCTGCTGCTGCGTTGACGTTCTTAACCCTTTCTGCCTGGACTGCGATGTCCGCTTCCACCAGGGTGTGAGTCTGCAGCAGGTCCTCCACCCCATGGAGATGCTTCCCGTAGTCCTGGGAATGTAGCCGGCCCTGGGAGAGGGAGAGAGAGACGAGGACAGGGGTGTTTATCATAATAATACAATAATAATCCTAGCATTTTATCACCTCATCGTGATATTGTTGTGATGTCCAGTCTGACTTAGTGTTTGGCCGATTTTCCATTGACAAACACGTCACCTTGGAGCCAGTTCAGCTCTGGGGAAGCCCCGCTTGTAAGCCTGTCCCACTTAATAATAATAACCCTCACATTTGATATAATTGCTTATCACGTCGTCGAGACGTCTCAAAGCGCTTCACAAGATACACTGTCAAGTGTAGTGACTGTGTGTTTTGTGGGTGAAACGCGCCAACCAATTGTGCCCAGCGACGTCCCCACAAACAGTCATGGGTTGAGTGACCAAATTATTAGTTTTATTATTTTTTAAGGGATTATTACCCCCGGAAAAGCAATCCTCCAATCAACTAACAACTGGCTAATCATTCCTTCACAAAAAAATTAAATCCACAACCGTTTGTGGGGACGTCGCTGGGGGCGCAATTGGCTGCTGCGTTTTGCCCACAAAATACTCAATCAATACACTTTACGGTGTATCCTGAGAAGCGCTTTGAGACATCTTGAAGACGGGATAAGGCGCCGGGTCACACGCCAGATTATCATCATCATCATCTCAAGGGCAGGACTACTGCTCTGCCACTTGGTGGCGCTGGTGTCCTGTGAAACCAAACCAGGAAGTGACCCAACCTGTGAGCTCCCAACCACACAGCGCAGCGCAGTACAGCGCAACAGAGCACAGCGCAGCACAGCACAGCACAACACAGCGCAGCACAGGGCAACAGAGCACAGCGCAGCACAGCGCAACAGAGCACAGCGCAGTGCAACAGAGCACAGCGCAGCACAGCTCAACAGAGCACAGCTCAGCGCAGCTCAGCGCAGCACAGCACAGCGCAGCACAGCGCAACAGAGCACAGCGCAGCGGAACAGAGCACAGCGCAGCACAGCGCAACAGAGCACAGCGCAGCACAGCACAACACAGCGCAGCACAGTGCAAGAGAGCACAGCGCAGCACAGCGCAACAGAGCACAGCGCAGCACAGCACAACACAGCGCAGCACAGCGCAACAGAGCACAGCGCAGCACAGCGCAACAGAGCACAGCGCAACAGAGCACAGCGCAGCGCAACAGAGCACAGCGCAGCACAGCGCAACAGAGCACAGCGCAGCACAGCACAACACAGCGCAGCACAGCGCAACAGAGCACAGCGCAGCACAGCGCAACAGAGCACAGCGCAGCACAGCACAACATAGCGCAGCACAGTGCAACAGAGCACAGCGCAGCACAGCGCAACAGAGCACAGCGCAGCACAGCGCAACAGAGCACAGCGCAGCACAGCGCAACAGAGCACAGCGCAGCACAGCGCAACAGAGCACAGCGCAGCACAGCGCAACAGAGCACAGCGCAGCGCAACAGAGCACAGCGCAGCACAGCGCAATAGAGCACAGCTCAGCGCAGCTCAGCGCAGCACAGCGCAGCACAGCGCAGCACAGCACAGCACAGCGCAGCACAGCACAGCACAGCACAGCACAGCACAGCACAGCACAGCATGCCAGCCTTCGCTTCACAAGCTGCCAAAGGGAAAACCTTGTTTGATTTACACCCGACTCCAAGCAAATACGAGTCCCTGTGGTTAGAGCGCTCGCCTCGCACGTGAGAGGACCCGGGTTCGATTCCCGGGTGGGTCAGGTCAGGGCGAAACCTTAGGCACGTTTCGTAACTCCACGCACACGGCTCTGTTAAGTAGGAACCCGGTTGTTAATCGATTGCGGAACCCTTATCGGGCGAAAGGATTGTGGTTATTGTTATTATAACAAGACACAGAAGGACCTGTAAATAGCAGTGGTAACTATGCCAAACTTATAGGCTTGGTGCTGCCTTCTGTCAGCACCGGTGATATAATAAATAAGAATAATCCTCGCATTTGACACAGCGCTTATCTCAAAGTGCTTCAACCGATACACTGTAAAATGAATTGTGGACGAAACACAGCAGCGTTCCACAAACAGCCGTGGATTGAATGACCAAATTTTTTTTCTTTTAGGGATTATTAACCCTGAAAGCGAATCGCCAATCAACTTAAAACTGGATTCCTACTTACTGCTCTGTGTGTGTGTGTGTGTGGAGTAAGGAAACGTGCCCAACATGTCGCCCGGCTGGTAATCAAACCCAGGTCTCTCAATTGTGAGATGAGCGCTTTCTCTAACCAGAGCTACACGTGTGTGGAGTAAAAGAACTTGCCTGAGGTTTAGCTGCGCCGGGCAGGAATCAAACCCGGATCCACCTGCTTGTGAAGCGAGGGCTCTAACCACCGAGCGCTCTGGGACGGTACCTAGCGTGAAGGGCGCTGCAGGACTCCGCTAACAACAACTACAACTTATGTTTATATAGTGGCCTTCACGCTGGACAGCGTCTCGGAGCGTGAGCTAACCTGCCCGGACTCTTGTTGTCTAACCTTCATATCCTCCAGCCAGTCCATGAGGTGTAGCATCTCCTGGAAGATTTTCTGCAGCTCCAGGTTGCGTGCCAACCTCTCTCTCCGTGCCAGCAGCAGCTCTCGTAAGTAGTCCCACAGCCTCACCACGTTCTCCTTTCTCACGTTGATGCGTTTTACGTCGTGGTATCGCTCGGCCTCCAGCTCCCGGGCCACGGCGGCCACCGCCTGCACGCGCTCGCTGTACGCCGTGATGTCCGTCTCGATGGCCTCGTGCTTGCGAGTGGCCGCCTCCACCGCAGCCAGGTCAACCCCAAAGTTATCCTTCACACGCGGAGAGAAATAACACACGGCTTTATAACAACAACAGCACCCCTCACGCAGGATAGCGGCCCTGAGCACCTCACAGTGGCGGAGATCGATACCAAGCCGGGGGTGGGGTACACGGAAGCAACCGTAGGCACCGCCGAATAGGAAGGTCTTCGAGTGGGACCTGAAAAATCGGGATGTAGCGGCTGAAAGTGTGGCCACTGATGGTGGAACAGAGGGGACGAGGGACAAGCAGGAGGCCGGAGCCAGTCAGGCGGATAGTGGATTCGAGGGGTAAACAGGTAGGAGAGGCGGGGAGGTGGGCACTCCATAAATTGATTGGCTCTATAGATTGGCTGCCGCGTATCGCCCACAAATATACAGTCAATTCACTTTATAGTCTATTCTGTGAAGCGCTTTGAGAAGAGAAGACATGAAAAGCGCTCTATCAAATGCAAGTATTATTATTGTTATTATAATGCAGGTTGTTGAGAAGGTTTCCTATATGTGACATTTGATGGCACCGGTGAGTGCAAAATGGTGGAACAACAACTTAATAATAATAATAATAATCTTTGCATTTGATAGAGCGCTTTTCACGTCGGGAGGACGTCCCAAAGCGCTTCACAGAACACACTGTAAAGTGAATTGACTGTATATTTGTGGGCGAACGCAGCAGCCAATTGCGCACAGCAATGTCCCACAAACAGTCATGGATTGAAAATGACCAATTTATTATTGTTTTGTTTTGGAGGATTATTATTAGGCTCTGTGTGGAGTAAGGAAACTGCCCGAGGTTTGGCCCTCTGCCTGGAATTGAACTCAGGTCTCTCACTTGCAAAGCGAGTGCTCTAACCACTGAGCTACAGGACTCCACAGGACTCCACTACACTTGCAGCTATACTGCGCCCGTCCCTCACGAGGGGCAGCGTCTCACGAGTAGATACACCAGGCAATAGACGTGGGTCGAAGCCCTCCATCCCATGTCTGGGATAAGTCCTGATGGCAGGAGTACAGCCCCTATCACCAACCTCCCCTCTCGCCCCCACCCAGGTTACCTGGGACACCATAATACCCCCACCCCCCGGTTACCTGTGACACCAGCCGCTGGTTCTCGCTCAGCCACGTCTCTCTCATGGCCGCCTTGCGGTCGAAGCGATGGGCCAACTGCTCCAGCTTCTCCTGACGGATCAGCTCAGTCCTCAGAGCCAGCTCCCGCTCGTGCTCTGCTTTCTCCAGCCGCTCCCAGCCCTGACACACAGGAGGGGCAGACTGTCACCCCCTGCTAATAGCCCCTCCCTCCTCAACAGAGGAGGGGCAGTGTTTCGCCCCCTGCTAATAGCCCCCTCCCTCCCCAACACAGGAGGAGCAGTGTTTCGCCCCCTGCTAATAGCCCCCTCCCTCCCTAAACCTCTCCTCCCCAACACCCGAGAGGCACGTGTAATGTCCCTCCAATAGCCCCCCCTCCCTCCTCTCCCCTCACAAGGCAGAAGGATAGAGGGAGGGCGTCACAGAGATTCGGGGCTTAGTGGTTGAAAGTGTGGCCGTCGATAGTTGAGCGAAGGGCACGAGGGACAAGCAGGAGGCTGGAGCCTGCCGAGCAAAGAAGGAGTGTCTCATACCTTGTTGATGTCTGAGATGAGCTTGCCCTCCCGGGGGATATAGACCTTCTGGTTGTTGGCTCTCATCTTACTCTGTATAGTGAAGAGCAGAACCTCCAGGTTCCCCTTCTCTGTAAATCTGTCACACACACACAGGCCCTCACTGAACAGGAATAACAACCCTCGCTGGCCTCCAACCCTTCCTGATCCCAACCCCCAGCTCGGGTGCAAATCCCTGACTGTCCAGCGCTTTGGAACGTCCTCCCGACATTAGAGGTGCTGTGTAAATGTCATGTTTTCTTGTTATTGCCGAATTTACACAGCCCCCCTCACGAAGGGCAGCATCTCGAGGCGCTGTACAATGGCGGAGCCTAAGGCCGAGCTGGGAGGAGGCGACCGTAAGCACGGTCAAAGAGGAAGGTCTTCAGACTCACTTGGGGGGCTTCTCGACGGTGCGGTAGGTGTTGAAGGCCTGGAGCTGGTTCTGCACTCCGCTCAGAGAGTTGGCCAGTTTACGGTCATTCAGGGTGATGATGGTGTGCTCGATCCACTGCAGCAGGTCAGAGGCTAGAGTCTCGTACTTCTCTATCAGGTTGTCAGCCTCGATGGCATAGTCCAGCACCTGGAGGGGAGGGAGAGCGGGGTGAGAGAGGGAGGGAAGGGGGAGAGAGGGAAAGACGAAAGAGGAGAGGAGAGAGGGGGTAGAGGAAGAGGGTTGAGAGAGAGGGAGAAAGCAGTGGGGGGAGAGACGGGCGGGGAGAGAGATGAGTGGAAAGAAAGGAGGAAGAGGGAGGGGTTGGTAGAGGGAGGTGGGGGGAGAGAAAGAGGGAGATGGAGAGAGGGGTGAGGGGGGAGAGAGAGGGTATGTGGGAGAGAGATGTGGGGGAGAGGGAAAGAGGGGGAGTGCAATTGAGAGAGAGTGAAAGAGGAGGGAGGGCAGAGCGAGAGAGACAGACAGACAGATGGGGGAGAGGGAGAGAAAAAGACGGGGGGGTGGGGGGAGAGAGAGATGGAGGGAGAGAGAGATGGGGAGAGAGAAGAGGGGCGAAAGATAAGAGAAGGGGAAAGAGATGGGGAGAAAGAGGGGGCGAGAGAGGGGGGGAAGAGAGAGCATTATTATTATTACAACAAATTATAAAATGACATTTATACAGCGCCTTTCGCGTCGGGAAGACGTTCCAAGGCGCTGACACTATTATCATTATTGGCGTGGAGATGTGTGTTGTTTGTGGCTGGCGGATACCTTGCCAATACGTTTGCCTTCCACAGCCAGAGCCTTCATCTTGGAGAAGTAATGATAATATGTGGCTACATAGGTAATGATGGACTTCTCATCCGGTTGATCCACACTGACATCTGGGGGAGAGGAGAGACACAGTCAGGAGAGAAAATCACAAGGGAAAGAGACAGAATCATGAGGAGAGAGAGGTGGAGAGAGACAGGGAGAGAGAGAGAGACAGAATCAACAACAACTTGCATTTATATATCAGGAGAATAGAGACAGAATCATGAAAGAGACCCACCACACACAGACACAACACACACACAAACACACCACACACACACCACACACAAAGACACACCACAGACATATACACCAACACATGACATTCACATGGAGCCTTTCACATCAGGAGGATGCCAAGGCGCTGGACACTCAGGAATTTGGCCCTGAGCTGGGGGTTTGGATCAGGAGGGGGTGGAGGGCAGGGTGGGTGGGGGTAGGAGGGTGTCCGAAGGTGCAGTTAGTCAAAGAGAAGGGTCTTGATACTGACCTTGAGACGGGTCATGAGACGAGGTGAAGGGAGAGACAGTGAGATGAAGTTCCAGTGGGTGGGGGCAAAGAGGCTAAAGGCCCGAGCGCCGAGGGACATCACGCAGGCTGGAACCTGCTGAGCGGACAATCCCCATGCCATTTTCTGCTCAGCACCGCATCCCCCCACACCACAGCCCAAGCCCCTCCCTCCATGGAGCCACTAACCTTCTGGGTCCAGCAGCTTTGTCAACCCCAACTGCTGCTCGGCCACATTGAAAGCGTTCTGCAGGTTATAATGAGCATTTGACTTCTTCAGCTTGTCAAAGTCTATCAGATCAGACCTGGAGCAGAGAGAGAGAGAGAGAGAGAGGAGGTTAGAATCTCCCATCGTGGAATGCCCTGAATCAATGGAAACTGAAGTGAAGAATGTCAGACACGCGGCCGGTCACGGTGACGGGTTTGTGTGTGTCAGACACCCGGCCGGTCACGGTGACAGGTTTCCGTGTGTGTCAGACACCGGGCTGGTCGCGGTGACGGGTTTGTGTGTGTGTCAGACACCCGGCTGGTCACGGAGACAGGTTTGTATGTGTGTCAGACACCCGGCTGGTCACGGAGACAGGTTTCCGTGTGTGTCAGACACCGGGCTGGTCGCGGTGACGGTTTTCTGTGTGTGTCAGACACCCGGCTGGTCACGGAGACGGGTTTCCGTGTGTGTCAGACACCGGGCTGGTCGCGGTGACGGTTTTCTGTGTGTGTCAGGCACCCGGCTGGTCACGGAGACAGGTTTCCGTGTGTGTCAGACACCGGGCTGGTCGCGGTGACGGTTTTCTGTGTGTGTCAGGCACCCTGAGGAACAGACACTGACTGACCTGTGTTTGTGGACGATTGCGTTAAAAGCCAAGCCGTCCCTCCAGCTGGTGGTGAAGTTGTGCACATTGACATTGGGGTACCTGACAACAGAGCATTTAACTCAGTTACTGCAGCACAGCTTCACTCCACATCAACAGCACCCTCCCTCTCACCCTCCCCCGCTTCCTCTCACCCTCCCTCCCCTCGTTCAAGGTCCGTCTCACGACCTCCCTCTTTGACCATGCTTTCGGTTATCTTTCCCTCTCCCCCCACTCACTTGCCTCAGCTCTCACCCCCTGCTCGGCCAGGACTGTTAAGTGCCTTGGGATGTCCCCCCACAGGACTCCACTATTATTCTTATTATATAAATGGACATCGTTGTTATCTATCTCCCACAAGGAGTTCTTTCCCAGAGGTTATTTCTCAGGCTAAGCTCACCCAGCTGTCTTCATCTGACACCAGAGCAGAAGGGCATCCTTGGCTGATTTCTTTTCCTTATTGTCTTCTGTTTCAACGCTGATGTCTTGGATCTGTGGAGAGACAAATGTGTGAGGAAAGGTGCACAAGGCAGATCGGAAATACACTAGAAAATCAGCAGTCGACAAACCAAGGCATTGAGCCATTCATACCTTCCTATCGATCCTCACGCTCGTCTTCAAATCCCTTAATTCCCTGGCACCCCCTTACCTCTCTGACCTGCTTACTCTCCAACCTTACTCCGTTCACCTGGCTCCAGCCTCCTGCATGTCCCTCTTGCCTTGCGTTCCACCATCGGAGGCCACGCTTTCAGCCACCACGCCCTAAACTCTGGAACTTTCTCCCTCAATCCCTCCGCCTCGCCCCTTCCTTCCCGATTTTCAGGTCGTGCCTGAAGACCTTCCTGTTTGACCGTGCCTATGCCTCCCCCTCAGCTCGGCTTGGCGTCGTGTTCCACTGCTACCCTGCGTGAGGGGTGCTGTGTAAATGCAACTTGTTGTTCCTTCAATACACTGGTACCCTCCGCACCTTGACAGTGAGCGTCAGTAAAGTATCTGACCCTGGGGCACATCGACAAATCGAGAGTTCCTACTTACCGTTAGGCAAACAGAGGCACGTGGGTGGATTAAGAAACTTGCCTAAGGTATCTCCCCGCCTGGAAAACAAACCCAGGTCCTCTCGCTTGCGAGGCGAGCACTCTAACCACTGAGCTATAGGATTCTACGAATATATCTGGATATCTGGATATGTGTTTCTAGTTCAGAGGAGATGAGCTGCCTCAAAACCAAAATGATACCCACTCGGGAATCAAATCCAACCTGGGTCCTCTCGCGTGTGAAGCGAGCTATGGGATGTCACAATGGGTGAAGGGTACCTGGAATCGGAGGATGATGGTCCAGATCAAGCCCAGGGTCAGCCGATGGTTTCCGTCCACAATGTCGTGAGAGCCCATGTTTTCCAGGTGGACTTTCTGCTCCTTCAGGAACTGCAAAGCCTTGTCCACGTTCTCCAGGCAGTGAATACGCATCCGGCCTTTGGTGGGTTTCGGCTGCAACAACAACAACAAGAAGTGAAAATGTTTATGAAAATGTATTCATTGTATTTTATTTATCCCCCAAAAAGGCTGTGGATTGTGGCTGGATCCATTCAAATTTTCGAGACTGAGATGGATAATAATAATAATCCTTGCATTTGATACAACGCCTTATCACGTCTTCGAGACATCTCAAAGCGCTTCAGAGAATACACTGTAAAGTGTAGTGACTTTTTTTTGCAGCAGCCAATTGTGCACAGCAGTGTCCCACAAATAGTTGTGGGTTGAGTGATATTTTTTTAGGGGATTATTATCCCCCGGAAAGCGATCCGCCAATCGACTGACAATCAGGTTCCTATTTACTGCTGGTAAACAAAGATGAAAACAGAGATGCTGCTTATCTTCCCCTAGGGAGAATCATCACGAGTTGGTCGTTCGACACCCGGCGAACACGGATTTGAGCCCTCACTAGGTTAATTAATACCTGGAGGGACACATCTTGCTTACCCAATTCCGGAAAGTATTAGATGTTGGATGGCAAGAGATTGACGGTGGCAGGGGTGGGGGGAGCTGAGGGGTGGAATAGGTAAGTGAAGTCAGATGAGGACTGGTGTGATGGGGGTGCAGAATTTAGTGCGGGTGAATCGACAGGACTTGAAAGGGCAGTCAGAGGCTGCAACTCATCCAGAACACGAATCCGATTCTCTCCCACACCAGGCTCTGCGTGCCCATTAACCCTTATCAGCTTTGTTTGGCTCCAATATCCCAGTGGATCAATCTTCACATCCTATACCCCTCCATGGTCTTGGACAAACTCTGCATATTGGGACAGAGATGTGTATGGTGCGTGTGTGGTGTATGTGAGAGTGTGTGTGTGTTGTGTGTGAGTGTTTGTGTGTGAGAGTGTATATGTGCGTGGTAGAGGGTGGTTTGTGTGAGAGTGTGCGCGGTGTATATGTGTGTGTGTATGTATATATGCATGTATGTATGTGCGGTGTATGTGTGCGTGCTCGGTGTGTCTGTGTGTATGTATGTAAGCTAGTATGTGTGAGGGTGTGTGTGATGTGTATGAATGTTTGTGTGTGAGAGTATGTGTGAGCATGGTAGGGGATGGTTTGTGTGAGGTGTGTGAGGGTGTGTGTGTGTGCGTGTGATATGTGTGAGTGTTTGTGTGAGTGTGTGTATGTGTGGTAGAGGATGGTTTGTGTGAGAGTGTGTATGAGGGCGTGTGTGTGTGCGTGCGTGGTAGGGGATGGTTTGTGTGAGTGTGTGAGGGTGTGTGTGTAATGTGTGTGAGTGTTTGTGTACGTGGTAGAGAATGGTTTGTGTGAGTGCGTGTGTGTGAAAGCTAGTATGTGTGAGTGTGTTGGCGGGGGGAGGGGTTATGTACTGACCAGTTGTTCCCCTGACAGCACCTCCAGCAGGCGGATGAGATTTCGCCCGTCCCTCAGGTCTGTGTACAGGTCTGTGATGCGACATGTCACGCGGGCCAGGTGTGAGTTCACCCATTTTGTGAAGGTTTTCTTCTGTACCGCTTCACGCTCGTCTGTAAAACAAACCCCGAGTTTTTTAAAATACAGTAAAAATCTGATCTGTATAAATCCTATAATTGATACTCAAATCCCCCTCACGCCCCCAGCACCTCCTGACCTCTCCGACCTGCTTACCCCCAACCCACTACCCGCTGCCTCCGCTCAGCTGGATCTAGCCTCCTGCTTGTCCCTCGTGCTTTCAGCATCTACGCCCTGAAACTCTGTCACTCTCCCTCAATCCCTCCGCCTTGCCCCCTCCTTCCCCATCTTCAGGTCGTGCCTGAAGACCTTCCTTTTCGACTGTGCTTACGGTCACCTCCTCCCGGCTTGGATGAGATTGGATGAGAAAAAATTAGTGGGGAACATAAAAGGGAAACTTAAGGTATTTTATAAGCATATAAAGAATAAAAGGTTAGTCAAAGGTAGGGTGGGTCCAATTAGGGACCAAAGAGGAAATTTTGTTGTGGAGGCAGAGGACATGGCTGACGTACTGAATGAGAACTTTGCACCTGTCTTCACAAAAGAGGACGGAGCCAATGCCACAGTATCGGAGAGGGGAGAGAAATTGAATAAGATAAGAAAAAAACGAGAGGAGGGACTAAAAAGGTTGTCGGTGCTCAAGGAGATAAGTCACCCGGTCCGGACGGGATGCATTCTAGGTTACTGAGGGAAGTAAAGGTGGAAATAACGAAGTCTCTGTCCACAATCTTTCAATCCTCCTTGGACACCGGGGTGGTGCCAGAGGACTGGAGGGTTGCAAATGTTACTTCCCTATACAAAAAGGGGCAGAAGGATAAACCCAGGAACTACCGGCCAGTGCCTAACGTGAGTAGTGGGGAAACTTCTAGAGACTATAATCCGGGACAAAATAAATTTTCACTTGTGAGACAAGCATGCTGACCACTATACCACAGGACTCCACAACCGTATCTGCTACGTGCAATTGCGGGGGGGGCAAGGATAGAGCCCACAGTGGAAGCATCAGCCAGTGAAAGGTTAAGTCGCCCAGTGTTTAATGACTCTTTGACCGTGCCTTCAGCTCCCCTCTCGACTCTCTTCCTCCTCCTCGCTCCCTCCCTTCCCTCCCCTCACCCTGACCATTTCCCCCCTCCTCTCTCCCTCCCTTCCCTCCCCTCACCCTGACCATTTCCCCCCTGCTCGGGTCATGACCCAACTGTGCAGCGCCTTGGGACGTCCTCCTGACGTGAAAGGCGCTCTATAAATGGAATCTTGTTGTTGTTGTTGTTGTAGCATATGCCCAGGCCTACTCTCCAGGCCTGACCTTCCCCTATGGGGACAGATGTGGCCCCTGTTGGCAATGCTAATCCCACAGCCTTCAGCACAGACACTCCCTGAGCCATGCATTGCCCAAATAGCGATGCTATCTGCACACGCAAGCAGGGAGCTCTGAACACACAGCTTGCGCAAGCTATTCATTCCGGTAGTCAAGCTTTTTGAAGGCAAAGAAAAAAAAGAATGTGCCGTTTCCTTGCCCGAAGCAATGATGACAGCACGATGCAATTTGCACTTACACAGAGCCTTTCATGTTGGAAAGACGCCTCAAAGCGCTTTACACAGCTGGCTAAATACCCGCGCCACCAAGGAAGGGGATGTGAAAATAACATTAATAATCCTTGCATTGATACAGCGCCTTATTACATCTTCGAGACGTCTCAAAGCGCTTCACAGAATATACTGTAAAGTGAATTGACTGTATATCTTGTGGGCGAAACGCGGCAGCCAATTGTGCACAGCAGCATCCCACAAACAGGCGTGGATTGAGTGACCAAATTATTGATTTTTGGAGGGATTATCACCATCGGAAATCAATCTGCCAATCGACTAACAAGCGAGTTCCTACTCACTGCTGGTAAACAGAGGCGTGTGGAGTGAGGAAACTTGCCCAACGTTTTGCCCTGCCAGGAATCGAACCAAGGTTCTCTCGCTCGCGAGGCGAGTGCTCTAACCACTGAGCTACAGGACTCCACATTGCCAGGCAGCCAAGGGGTTAACACAACGCTCTGTGACTGTGAGTATACCTGGCAGACGTGAGAGAGGTGACCTAATCTCACATGTTTTACGACTGGGAAACCAGAAAGACCGGATCAACCGCTGAGCCACAGAATTCTTGTTGTGAAAAGAATCCGATTCTGACCTCCAAATCAGAGAGACGAAAGGGCGGGGAAGGAAAGCGGTGAGAGAGAGAGAGAGAGAGAGAGAGAGAGAAAAGAAAAGAATGAAAACCGAGATAAAGGAAAAGAATCCTTGTGCAGGGTTACAATATATCCAGAAACAGCTTGACGTTTTTGTGGGAAGCCTGTCAAGATAAGATCAAATTGGCCAAAGGTTCTTCCTTCCAACAATAAATAATAATCCTTCCATTTGAAGCAACGCCTTATCAACAACAATATGAATTTATATATAGCCCCCTTCACGTGGGGTAGCTTCCCAGAGCACTTCGTCACAACAACAAATGACATTTACACAGCGTCTTTCACGTCCCAAGGCGTTGCAGTCAAGGATTTGGACCCGAGCTGGGGGTTGGGGTCAGGGGGGGGGGGGGACAGGGAGGGTGGGGGTAGGATTGTGACCGAAGGCGCAGTTGAAGAGGAGGATCTTGAGACTGGACTTGAAGGAGGCAAAGGAGGGGACGAGCCGGAGGGATTGTGGGATGGAGTTCCAAAGTGTGGAGGACATTTCTTAGGATGTCTCAAGACACTTCACGGGATGTTACTGTGCGTTTGTGGGCGAAAGCGGCAGCCAATGTTCACACTGCAACGTCCCACAAACAGCCATGAAAGGAAAGACCAATTTTGGGACCCTGCTGTGTGCAATTGGCTGCCGCGTTTCGCCCACAAATATAACAACAACTTGCACTCATATAGCACCCTTCACGTGAGGCAGATTCCCGGAGCGCTTCACAGTGGCGGAATCTGACAACGAGCCAGGGGAGAGAGTGTGAAGTGAATACACAGTCTATTCACATGACAGTATATCCTGTGAAGCACTTTGAGACATCTCGAAGACGTGATAAGGCGCTGGGTCAAATGCCAGGATTATTATTATTATCTTGAACATCCCTGTGAATGCTGAGGATGTTAAGACGGAGCAGGGATTAGAAAAACAGGCTTGGTTCAGTGCATTACATTCTGTGTTAACGATCAGAGATGGCAGTGAGCTGGAACGATGGCTCTGTCTCAAACAGGATCCTGGTTCAGGCTGTGAGGGGTAGGTTCAGAACAGCGAGTGGCTCTGTACACAGAGGAAATCAACAGCTGGAACAAGTTACCGAGAAGGGAGAAATTGAGGAAAAAAAACTCTTTTCTTTTCCTAAAACATTCAGATCTTTATCATCCACGCGAACAGGGCATAGATTGACAGGACCCTGGTTTAACGTCTCATCTGAAATTTACAATTTGGAGTGAGTAGCGTAGCGTAGAGCACTCACTCGCAAGCGAGAGGACCCGGGTTCCAATCCCGGGCAGGTCAGGGCGAAAGCTTAGGCAAGTTTCCTTACTCCACACACACGTCTCTGTTTACCAGCACTAAGTAGGAACCCGCTTGTTTGATACAGTGCTTTATCACGTCGTTGAGACGTCTCAAAGCACTTCACAGAATATATTGTAAAGTGAATTGACTGTATATTTTGTGCGCGAAACACAACAGCCAATTATGCACAGCAGCGTCTGTCCCACACACCCCTGGAAAGTGATCTGCCAATGGACTAACAACTGGTTTCCTACGTACTGTTAGGTAAACAGAGGCGTGTATGTGTGTGGAGTAAGGAAACGTGCTTAAGGTTTCACCCTGACCCGCCCAGCAATCGAACTCGGGTCCTCTTGCTTGTGAGGCAAGTGCTCTAACCACTACACTACAGGACTCTACTATATAAATGGAAAGCAATGCAGTCGTGCACATAGAATGATGCCAGTGATCCACCTGACAACACTGAGATCCATCCTCAGAGTACTATAACTTTGCAGAAGGGAAACTTTGTAAAAGCCAAGTGCCGCCCATTAAATTATAATGAAACTCAACCTCCCCCATTTAATCCTTCTTAATCGTCTTATGTCTCTGTACACGAAGGAACTCGGAGACAGAAATGCCGCAATGGGGAATGTCACACACACCCACATACACACATACAGACATACACTAACGCCAGACATGTCCACTGAACAGTATGTCAGGATCTGGGTTTAACCTCTCCTCCACTCAACCTAACCCCCAGGAGCCTAGACCGCGCACTCTAGGTCCTGATGTAATAATAATAATCCTTGCATTTGATATAGCACCTCATCACATTGTTGAGACGTCTCAAAGCACTTCACAGGATACACTGTAAAGTGGGCGACTATGTACTTTGTGGGCGAAACACGCACAGCAATGTCCCCACAGACAGTCGTGGATCGAGTGACCACATTATTATTATTTTATTTAATTTTTGAAGGGATTATTTCCCCCAGAAAGCGATCTGCCAATCGATTGAACAATCAGGTTCCTACTTGGTACTAGCTAAGCAGATCCTTGCATTTGATACAGCGCCTCATCACCCCCTCGTGACTCCTCAAAACGCTTCACAGGATACACTGTGTACTCTGTGGGCCAAACTCTGCAGCCAATTGCACGCAGTAGTGTCGTGGATTGAGTGGTATATGTGTCTATATGTGTGTGTGTGTGTGTGTGTGTGTGGAGTAAGGAAACTTGCCTAAGGTTTCGCCCTGACTCGCCGGGAATCGAACTGGGGTCCTCTCGCTTGCGAAGCGAGCGTGTTAACCACAACACTACAGGACTCCACAAAGAGTCCGAGGCCTTGAATTCCCTTCAGCCGCAGCCTGCGCGTCTCTAGCAGTGAGCCTCCAAGGTTCTGTCTTTCTTTGGCAACCCTCACACCCAGGAGCTCAGCCACCCAGGTGTTGTTACCTCGAGCTGAGGGCGAGGCCGTACTTGACAGTCAAGCCCTCCATAGTCTCCTCCTGGTAACTCAGCCAGAAGTTAGCCGCAGCAAACATGT